GAAATAATAATTTGTGTGACAAACATAATATATATTAAAAATATACTTATATCTAATATATGAGATGAATGAGACTATTAAAAACAAAGAACAATTATACACATAAATAAAAGTTTAATAACATAATTCATATATAACTAAAATTAAATTAATATAATTCGTAGAATTTAAAATCTATAATCCGCGCGTAGCGCGGAAAAACCCTCTAGTTAGTTATAAATGGAGTAAATGAGTTTAACATCCAGTAATATGGACATAATATTTCGAAGAAAGATAGGCACTTTAATATATTAATAGATTTTCACGTAGCACAAAATTCAAACTAAAACTTAGGACTATATCAGTTCGAGATGTATATATCTTTATATAATTATACTAGGTGTTTTGCCCGCACTTGCGGGCATAATTTTCTTATGAATATTTATCCGTTGATGTTTGATTAATATATTACTTATGTTTTCGATAAGAAAAAAACAAACATCAAATAATTATAAATGACAAAACTCAAACATCAGAAATATTTTAAATAATATAGTTCTATAATCAATTTCCTTGATTTATATTTAATTATAATATTTATCCAAATATTTTTACTTAATTTATATTTAATTATAATTTTTATATCTTAATTTTAAATTTTATAATAGAAAAAATATTTTCAGATAAAAATACAATGCATAAGTTATTTATTTTCTAAAAATATAATATGAAAAATTCGTTTTAATTATATAATAATTATATAAGATTATAGAAATGATGACATATGATTACAATTACTTAAATCATGGAGAACTTAACAAATCTAACAAATTCACTTCTTAAATAACTTTGCTTTGAGTGATGATTTATATTTAATTAATAATAGATAAATTTTCAATTTACCTTTAAATTATATAATATAAAAATATATTTTCAATAACCTTATTTTCTAAAAATATAATATTATTAGTGTAAATTTATTTGAAGTATAGAATAATTACAACTTTTAAACTGTAATTTTAAATTTCTAATAGAAAAATATATTTCCAAGACAACAACATAATACATAAGAGGTGTCTTATTTTCTAAAAATCTGATACTATTAATATAAATTTATTTTAAATATATAATAAATTATATATAAAATTATATAAATTATGATAATTATCAAAGTTACCTAAAATCATGGAAAATATGACAAACCATCAAACATTAAATTCACTTCTTAAATAATAGAAAAGACTTCTTACATGTTAATTTAAAATTCTATAGTAAAAAATATATTTTCAAGATAACAACATAATATATATATAAGAATTAATTTATTTTCTAAAATATCATATTCTTAATATAAATTAGTTTTAATTATATAATAAATAACAAAACAAAATTAATGAAATTATGATAAGTGATCAAAATTACCTAGGATCATGGAGAAGTTGACAAATCAACAAATTAAGTTTTCAAATATTTTTTTGATGATTTAAATTTAATTATTAATAATATAATTTTATATCTTAATTTTAAAATTTATAATAGGAAATTATAATTTCAACATAACAACATAATACATAAGAATTATATTATTTTAGAAAAATATAAAATTATTAATACAAATTTGTTTTAGTTATATAATAAATATAATAATTTTTATATCTTAATTTAAACTTTAAGTTTTATATATAAAAATTTATTTCAAGATAACAACATATATCACAAAAATTATCTTATTTTAAAATAAATATAATATCATATAAATTCGTTTTATTTTAAATAAATTATATATAAATATTAAAAATATGATAAATAAACAAAAGTACCTAAATTTATGGAGAACATGACAACTAAGCAAATTTACTTCTTAAATAATAATATAGATATCATTAACTTGTGAATGGAGGCTGTACCATAATCATTCATATTAATACCATCTCTAGTTTATATGTCATAACACTCATATTTAGAGGTTGATTGATTTTCCTGCCATTATTTAAAAACTCACTGCTCATAAATTTTGATTGTCAGCGTTTAAAAACGGTTAAAAATGTTTTCTATCACAATACATTTTTCCTGAATCTTGAATTCAATAATTTTTGGACTGAAAACCATAATTTCTTTAGGTCAGGAACAAAAATCGATTGTTATTCTCCTTCCCACAACTGTTCTTCTAAGACTTGAACATGACATATTTTACGTTAATAAAAAAAACTTTACCAGTAGAGATAGCAACTCCAAATCATTTCAAACCATGCTAAAAGTTGGAAAATTAAAAATTGTTTTCTTGAACGTTTGCAGCTATATACAACTGCATAATAACTATTTTAGAAAACAATATAAATTTCATTTTAAAACTAAAATTTATATCATAAATTTAAACATTATAACTACAAAATATATGGCGTTTTCAAACAAATATCCACTGACACCAACCATACTTTTTATAAGATAAAATTTCCCTAATCACTAATATATATATATAAACCAACCATTAATATTCTTATGAATTTAGCAATTAAGTACATAAGAACATGTTTATATTAAGTAAAAAAATTAATATAAGCACAAATATTATATCATTATCAATTAATTAAATTTATAAATTATATTTTATAATAGTACAGTTTAAGATAATTTAATAATTATATAATATGTTCATATGTTAGTTAATTATTAAACTGTTACTACTGCATCAGCTAGTCAAGCAGTTTTAAATATCTCGAAATATATATATTTCTAACTGTTAGATTAATCATAAAGATCTTAATAACATTTAGAACTGCAACACTTACATCTTAAAAATCTCGCAACCACATCCACTCATGTTGAGCAATCATACCACTAAATTTGGTTATGTGTGTGTACGTTGTGACAGATTGATAGAAGATATAAAACTGTAGATAGGATAGTATATACTCTCTCCACTTCAAAATAGCTGATATTTTGATTTAACGCATAAGATTTAAACACATACATGTTTACCTAATAAATATTATTAAAAATATAAATAAAAACTAATTCAACCAATCATCAATATAACTATGAAAATATCATTGATCATACAATCTTCAACAAAATTAAAATTAATATAAAAATATCAAATATCAAGTATTTTGAAACATTAAAAACTCTTCAAAACATCATCTATTTTAGAATGAGAAAGGAGTACTTTATTATTATTGGTAATCAATGAAGATGTTAGTATGACTCCTTTCATCTCCCCCCCAAAAAACTTAAACCGCCCCTCCCTTAAAAGATGTTAGTACTTAAACTGCATGAAATGTATCTGTCTAATTTATAGTGCCATACTACCAAGGAAACTGGTAAGTTGGTGGAGAAGAGTCGAAAAAGAGTAGTTGAAGTTGCTAACGTGAGCGCCTTGATTGAGGGATATTGTCGTTAAATTTTGATCAAGCAAAGGCTTTAACAACCACTAGTCTTTTCCTCCAACGTGTCACGCTCTATAACAAATACTTTTGACTTTTGTCATTTGTGGATCTATTTCAAATATTCAATCGCCGTGGCAACGCCTAATCATGTTCACTAAATAAGTACATTTGTATTTCAAGTTTTAAATAATACTGGACCATTAGTTTTGGTGATATTGTTTAAGCATAAACATATATAGACTGGGTTTGATCTTTGAGGACAAAAATGAAATAAAATAATTAATTACCTTCCAAAAATTAAATAAAGTAAGCGGAGACTGGATACACATATTGAACAACATAGCTTATAATATTGTTTTGAGTAAAATCAGGATATTAGTGCTAGGAAACTGATATTTAAGTAGACAAAGACACCACTATGAAACCTTTTTACGGATACTCAAATAATGATAGGATTAGTGTTTTAAAATATTACATAATTTTCTTCTAAACTAGCCACCTTAGTTCATCATCAGGTTGGTTTGTGGTTAACAATTAGATGATCAATCTCAAATAATCAACTAGAGATAAAATTAGCAATGGGTTTTTACTTCCTAATTAATGTGATTTTACTAACTGGTTATTATTTTATCCGTTTTAATTTATTTGTTATTTTGAGTTTTTACACACAGACTAAAAAATATTTAATTTTACATATTTTTTAAGAAAAAACACAATCACTTATACATATAACAACATTTTAACAAATAAAAAAATAGAATAATAGATATAATTGATAAATTTTTCATTAAAATTTTAAAATAATATTTTTTTTAAAACAGATTTTTTTGGGTCAAAAATGCATATTTTATTCTATAATGACAACACAAAATTGAAACGAAGAGAATATAAAAAATGTAAAAGTACCGTAACGGTAATTCTCTAAAAACACAGGGGTGCATTCAGCAAGGGCGTTGTATGATGCAGATGACAGCAACGTTATTTTCGCGAGTAACGTTTTAACGAGAATATATATTAAATATTTAATACGGTCATTAATATTCAAATTCGGACCATTTTTTGTCTGAACAACCAAAAAAATTTGAAATTTGTTTGTTGGTCGAAGAAGAACAGAGGATTTTATTCATTGCTCTTTCCAATAAAAAAAAAAAGCAAAAAGTTGCATCCTTTGCAGAGAAAAACATCATCATTTTCTCAGAAGAAGAAGAAGAAGAAGAAGAGAATCTTAGGGTTTACAATTTTCTCAGGAAACGATTCGTTTTCTCTCCCCTTGTTGAAATCATTTTCTCTTCTAGATCAGGTTTTGTTAATTTCCCGTTTAGTCAATTCATGTTTTTATTTAATTTTCCAAATCTCTTACCAGAAATGGAGGAGCCTCGAAATTTTGAATTTTTCTTGAGAGATGAATAGATTCTTCTCTGAATTTCTTAAACTTTTATCTTTTTTTTTTTTATTAAAATAGGTTTTGGTTCCCAAGAAGGTCTCTTCGGTTTCGAGAGGGAGTATGAATGGTTAACGACGTCCCTCGTTCACTGCACCCGTTTAGGGTTTATGAAGCTCTGATTGCGTAAAAGACTCAAAACTTTGTGTTGGGTTTCTGTCTTCTGGTGATTCATTTTTGTGAGGGGGGAGACAATGATGTTATCGGCGTCGCCGAACACACTAGCGAAAAGCTCTCTGGAGGAGATGCTTGAGTCTCTCCGGCAGAAAGATGAGTGCCAGCAGCAGCAGCCTAGAGATATCCCTCCGGCGCTTCCTTCTCGCCCTAACTCAAGGGCTCGTCTTCCCTCTGCTCGCCGCTCTCTTCCGGCGAATTTCAGTGTATCTAGTGTGGTGGATGATCAGAATCAGAACGGGAGTGTTGCTTCCAAGCAGCCTGAACAGGAGAAGAGAGAGGAAGGGAAGAGGAAAGTGAAGGATTTAAGAGTTCCCAGGAAGAGTTTCGGAAGCAAGAAGATGAGGAATGGTTATAGATCAGAGTCTCCGTACGCTGCAGAGAAGGAGGAGGAGGATGAAGTTGTGAAGGTGGCTGCTGCTGCTGCTGCTGCTAAGGTTAGTGCGGTGGAGAACGTGGAGGAGGAGCAGAAACCTGAGTGGAACGATAATGTTGAGTATTTCATTAAGAAGGTAAAAAATGGATGATTCTGTTTCTTGGTAACTCTTATTGTCCTTTTTTTTTAATTATCTCAGAGGTTGAATTATTGGTAGGACTGAGAGATTAGGAATGAATCTTTTACTGGTGACTTGAGGAGTGAGAGTTTGAACTTTGTGATAAGAAAAGTCTGTCCTCAGAGTGTTTTGATGGAAGCATATATGATGAAGAGGCTTAATAGATTGAATATGTTTTTTCTTGGTATAGCTTGCTTAAGGGTGTCCTAGTTGTGTTTACTTTTCTATCTAAGAATGAAATCTAGAACTTTGGTTTTTAGGAACTTGTGGTTACTGTGTTTGAATTGTATTTCAGAAACTACGAGTTTGGTGCCGGGTTGCAAATGGGCAGTGGCAGTTGGGGAAGATACAGTCTACTGCTGCTGATACGTCGCTTGTTATGTTATCCACCGCAAATGTAAGTTTACTTGTAATGTTGTTGCAGTTTCCTTATGATATTGAGAGGTTTCTGTGCTCTGACTATCCAAATCCTGTGATTTTTGTTGCTATCAAAGGTTGTGGAAGTGTCTACTGAGGAGCTCTTTCCTGCAAACCCAGATATTTTGGAAGGTGTTGAAAACCTTATACAGCTGAGCTATTTAAATGAACCGTCTGTTCTTTATAACCTTCGTGTCAGATACTCGCAAGACGTGATTTATGTGAGTTTACCCCAAATTCTTTTGACTCTTTTGATTTGTTTCTCACTCTTTAATGCCTACTTCTTAGCTAACTTAGCGTTTTTCTTTTCATAGAGCAAAGCAGGGCCAGTATTGATTGCGGTCAATCCGTTCAAGAGTGTTGACATATACGGAGATGATTTCATCTCAGCTTACCAGACGAAGGCTGTGGATGCTCCTCATGTATATGCTGTGGCAGATGCAGCTTATGATGAGATGATGAGAGGTGAGGGGACACATTTATAATCACGCTTTTTTTCTATTTACATAATAATTAAAATCCTAATGGGTCGTCCAGTAGTATCTGGCACTTACACTTTGAACCTTTCTACATGCAGAAGAGAAGAACCAGTCTATTATTATAAGGTACGACTCGCTGCACCCTGAAGTTGGTATACTTCTGAATGTTTTTGTATTCATAATGTGGCAAATTGATTACTATTGTTCCGCAGTGGAGAAAGTGGAGCTGGGAAAACCGAAACTGCGAAATTTGCAATGCAGTATTTGGCAGCTCTTGGTGGAGGTAGCTGTGGAGTAGAATATGAAATCCTCAAGACAACTTGCATACTCGAAGCTTTTGGGAACGCTAAAACATCAAGAAATGCTAACTCTAGCAGATTTGTGAGTTGTTTTTTTTTTTTTTAAAACAATTTTGTTGAGTTATTAATAAGGTCATTTTGTAAATTAAGAAGTTAAACAGTATATCTTAACTGGCGCAGGGTAAACTCATAGAAATCCATTTTAGTGCAATGGGAAAGATATGTGGAGCCAAACTTGAAACTTGTGAGTATAATCTAAGCATACATACTTTGTTTATCATATTATTTGTGTTAAAGCTCACTTGTTTCTTTGTCTTCCTCTCCATGTTTTAAATAATCACTCTTTGGTAAATGCGTACAGTTCTGCTAGAGAAGGTAACTTTGTTTCCATTGAGAATCTTTTTTTACTTTCACTACTTAGCATCGGTCACTAACTGATAGTAGTATCCTTTGACCAGTCAAGAGTTGTTCAGCTGTGCAATGGCGAAAGATCCTACCACATATTTTATGAGTTTTGTGCAGGTGCTTCCCCGGCTCTCAAAGGTAACATTACATACTGAAATCTCCAAAATTTTACACTGCTATCTTAATTAAGTGGCAGCATGTATCTTTCTTTATAAATGCCTTGCTGAAATAGAACATAGAGACATAAAGTATTTGCTAAACTGTCGTTACAATGGTTTTATTTGTAGAGAGGTTGAAGCTTAAAACCGCAAGTGAGTATACCTACCTAAACCAGAGTGATTGCTTGACCATCGACCGTGTTGATGATGCTCAGAAATTTCGCAAGCTACTGGTAATCTTTATGTTTCTCTTTCTCGTGCTTGCTTCTGTTTCCATGGTTAAGATGCCAAGTTTTACTATGGTTTTTCTCTCTGTCATTTCTTTACTTTTGTAGGAAGCTTTTGACATTGTTCAAATCTCTAAAGAACAACAAGAGCGTGTATTTGCATTGCTTGCGGCGGTGTTGTGGCTAGGGAATGTATCTTTCCGAGTTACTGACAATGAAAATCATGTGGAGGTGGTCGCCGATGAAGGTAGAATCTCTTATCTTAATTCATAAAAAAACTGTAACTTGGTGATGCTCACTTAACATTTGGCTGCTATTTCTTACAGCTGTCACCAATGCCGCTATGTTAATGGGGTGTAACTCAGAAGAGCTTATGGTGGTTTTGTCTACCCGTAAACTTCAAGCTGGTACAGATTGTATTTCAAAGAAACTGACGTTGCGGCAGGTAATGTTTTATAGTCATCAGTCTTCATATTCATGTACATTGATCAAAAATGCTGATGGATGAGTTTCTGTGCCGTTTTTACCTGCAGGCAACCAACATGAGAGACGGGATAGCAAAATTTATTTATGCAAGTATTTTCGACTGGCTTGTTGAGCAAATAAACATCGCACTGGAAGTCGGTAAATCCCTTACAGGGAGGTCTATAAGCATCCTTGATATATATGGGTTTGAATCATTTAAGGTTAGTAGTACCCATACATGTTCTAGTTGTTTTATTACTATCATTCTTTTCGAAATCCTGAAATGATGATCTGTTTCTCCTTGGTTTCAGAATAATAGCTTCGAACAGTTCTGTATAAACTATGCAAATGAAAGGTTGCAGCAACACTTCAACCGGCACTTATTTAAACTTGAACAAGAGGTGATTCATTTTGTCTTAAATGATATGATAGTGTGTGCTTTCTACTCTACTGTTCCCTTCAATATTGTCTTCTCTGTTCAGGAATATGAAGAGGATGGAATTGATTGGACGAAGGTCGAATTTGTAGACAATCAAGAGTGCTTAGATCTAATTGAAAAGGTAATCAGTGTCCAGCCACGTCCTTATTTGTTTTTGCTTCAACAACGAAAGAGATATCTACTAGTTTGCTCTAATGCTATAAGGACATTTCTGCATGGTCTAAAAAGTAATCTCTTGCATATGTCTTACCTGTGTAGAAACCCATTGGTTTATTGACCCTACTAGACGAGGAATCAAATTTTCCGAAAGCAACTGATTTGACTTTCGCCAACAAGCTCAAGCAACATTTGAAGACCAACTCTTGCTTCAAAGGAGAGAGGGGTCGAGCCTTCAGAGTTAATCATTATGCTGGAGAGGTCAGTTGATTGCCCTTAGTTCAAAAAAACAGTCTCTGTATACTGAATATGTTTTATATGTATCTGAAGATGTACATCTTTTCTTGTACTTATGGGGTTATTCTTTGAATGATGATTTCGTTTACAGGTTCTCTACGATACAAATGGGTTTTTGGAAAAGAACAGGGATCCGTTACCTGCTGATCTTATCAATCTTTTATCATCATGTGACTGCGAGTTACTGAAATTGTTTTCTACTAAAATGCGTGGCAAATCTCAGAAGCCGCTTATGTTATCGGACTCCACAAATCAAACCGTTGGGACTAAGTTCAAGGTAAAGGAATCTTGAATGATGCAGTTTAGTCTTTCTTCAGTTGCAGTCTTCCTCAACTCGCGTTGCATCCGTCATGGTTATTTATTTCTTTACAGGGCCAACTTTTCAAGTTGATGAATAAGTTAGAGAACACAAGTCCTCACTTCATTAGATGCATAAAGCCAAATTCGAAGCAGCTTTCCAGAGTTTATGAAGAGGATCTTGTGCTCCAACAGCTTAGATGTTGTGGCGTGCTGGAGGTTGTTAGAATATCAAGATCCGGATATCCTACTCGTTTGACACATCAAGAGTTTGCAGGAAGATACGGTTTCTTATTGTCAGACAAAAATGTCTCTCAGGATCCTTTGAGCGTATCAATCGCTGTTCTAAAACAGTACGAAGTTCATCCTGAGATGTATCAAGTTGGCTATACAAAATTGTACCTACGAACTGGTCAAGTAAGTGATTTGGAGACTGTTTCCTGATCTTAATACAATTCTTATGCGCGTTAACTTCATTTTTTTTTTTACAGATTGGTGTCTTTGAAGATAGGAGAAAGAAGGTTCTTCAAGTCATAGTGTGCTTACAAAAGCATTTCCGTGGTCGCTTGTCTCGTGAATACTTCCAAAATGTGAGAAACGGAGCTTTGGTACTTCAGTCGTATGTACGAGGTAAAAATGCTCGACGAATGGTTGATATTAAAGCAAAGATCCATGCGGAGTCCCTTTCTGAAGCAAGGGCAGGAGAGTTAACTGCAGTCATAAACTTGCAATCTGGTAAAACATTGCCATCTTATTTGCTAAAATTACAAATTGAGGTTATCAGATTTGGAATATGGATCTTAATGCTCATCATTCATTTGTCTCCTTTGCAGCGGTTCGGGGATGGTTGGCTAGGAAACGCTTCAGCAGCATGCAAAGACAGAAAGAACTTCTTGATGTGACGACCAAATCAAAGAGGAAAGCGGGCAGGAGGGTTTCAGAAGACAAGGTACTTACTATTAAAAGAAAGTTTGTCCACTTTCTGAATCAAAACATTATTACACTATAACATACACACTCTCTCTCGTTTGTGATGTAGGAATTGCCGCTGGAGCAGTTCCAAGTTCAACCATCAGCTATGTCTGATCTCCAGAAGCGGGTTTTGAAATCTGAAGAAGCTTTAGCGCAGAAGGAAGTAGAAAACAAAGCACTGAGAGAGCAGTTGAGACAATTTGAAGAGAGATGGTCAGAGTATGAAGTAAAGATGAAGTCGATGGAGGACACTTGGCAAAAACAAATGTCATCGTTACAGGTTAGTTCCTCATGCTTGACACAAACAGGAAGATAAATATTAAGAAGTGTTCTAACTTCGGATTCTGTGTCACTTTGTTTTGTCAGATGAGTCTTGCAGCTGCTCGAAAGAGTCTAGCTACAGAAAACAATCCAGTTCAAGCAGGAGGAAGACAAGACGCATCGATGTCACCTTTTGGCTATGACTCGGAGGACACAATGTCTAATGGAACTACTCCGGGAGTGAGAACTCCCACAACTAAGTTCAGCAACGGAAACACTCCAGAACTCAGAATCAGAGAGCTCAACGGAAGTTTGAACGCGGTTAATCATCTGGCAAGAGAGTTTGATCAAAGGAGACTAAATTTTGACGAAGATGCTAAAGCTATTGTTGAAGTGAAAGGTGGACCGCAGGCAACTCCCAACGGGCAGCAACAGCCAGAAGATGAGTTTAGGAGACTGAAGCTAAGATTTGAGACATGGAAGAAAGATTACAAAGCTAGATTAAGAGAGACTAAAGCAAGACTCCATAGTGATAAAGGTCGTCACCGGAAATGGTGGGGCAAAAGAGGCTAAGGGACTTTCACCACTCTCGCTTAGGTTTGTTTGTTGTATTATTAGTACAAAAACGTTTAGATTATTAAGATCATTGTAGATTCAGCTGAGTGAGACATTGTATCTGTTTTGGACCTCTTTTTTTTTCTGTGCATAGCAAATAGAGTGTTGTAATTTGAGAGGAACAAGAAAAGGTTTATGTTCATATCATTTCAATGGATTACATCAAGACTTATAATTAAAATCAAGCTCCAGGTACAAACTTAGTTGCAAAAGCCCAAGCATTGTTAGCAACAGGGTTATCAAGATGGTCAAGGAGATTCTCCAAAGGACCTTTTCCAGTAACAATGGCTTGGACAAAGAAGCCAAACATTGAGAACATAGCCAACCGTCCATTCTTGATCTCCTTCACCTTGAGCTCAGCGAAAGTAACCGGGTCATCCGCAAGACCTAGTGGGTCAAAGTATTGCCCGCCCGGGTACAAGTCATTGCCTTCGCCAACACCATCCAGACCGTTGATGCGGAAACCTTCAACCAATCCCATTAGGATAACTTGGAAGCCAAGGACGGCTAAAATGCTTTGGGCGTGGACTAGGTTTGGGTTGCCTAAGTAGTCCAAACCGCCTTCGGAGAAGATTTGTGAACCGGCTTTGAACCAGACCGGCTCCTTGAAGTCCACACGGACCCATTTCTGAAGAACTTCAGGTGTTATGCAACCTAATGCTCCCAACATTGCCCATCTCCCATGGATCACCTGTTATATGATGATTAGTGTTTACATGATTGATTCTTGAGTGAGTGAGACATAGAGACTAACCTCAAGAGCTCTGTTCTTGGCAAAGGCTTCAGGGTCTGCGGACAAACCGGCCGTGTCCCAACCATAGTCACCGGGAAACTCTCCGGTGAGGTAAGACGGAGTTTGGACAGAGAATGGTCCTAAGTACTTCACTCTGTCTGGTCCGTACCAAAGATCGTTCCCCTTCACATGTTAAATTTAAAAAGATAAGACACAAGTCCAACAACAAAGACGAAACCTCTAAACTTAACAAAGAGATTTAGCACAAAAACAAAACAGACCATAGTGTATTTGGGAGATCCGAGAGAGACAACATCACGAAGAGGGTTGAAGGTGGAGCCTTTAGTCTGGCCAAGAAATGATGTTGGGGTCAGAACACTGCTCGAGCTTGTGAATGTTGAAGCCATTGCGTTTGTTTTCTTTGTGGTGTAGTTCTTCTTCTTTGCTGTTTGGTGGAGAATTGATCTCAGGGAGGTTTGAGTTTTAAAGTGAGTGTTATGTGGATGAGAAGAGACGGGAGAATCAGAGATGGGATATTGATAGAGAGTTGGATGTTGGCATTAGCCAATCAGGAAACAGTTTTGGATTTGAAGAATCTCTAACTCAATCTCTTTTTTTATCCATACTTTTTTTTCTTTTTTGTCTTTTCCCCTTAAATTTTTAACCTTTTTACGAAGAAAGTAACTTCGTTTTCCCCTTGTGTTAAAGTTTTAACTCTCCTTTTTTTTGTCAACGTGTTGAATTCTTTGGACTATAAATTTAGTTTGAAAGCATATTATTCAACTTATTAAATTATACTCTCGCTCAAATGTCTGCTAGTTCGTGAGACTTGTATGAAAGAAAATAAATCAAGCCTTTGCTAGCTCCAAAAACTTGGCAATTTATTTATTTATTTGACGAGTAGTAGTAAGTAGCCTAGTGATAATTTTTTAGAGTTTGGTGTGTATCCATATCAGTTTTGAATTTGAATTTTTATGAGAACTAAATTATCACTATTTGATTGACTAGTATGGATTTAGATTTCGGCTTAAATGGTTGACATGTCAATCTGTAACAAACCATTTGTCTATCCTTTAGCATCAGTCGGAAAGTATTCCAGACCCAGATTAGTTACTATGATAACCAAACGATTCTGTAACACTAAGTGGATTCCACTCGAAGCTGATTAGATCAATAGCCGATAAGATATATAAAAATAAAGTTTATTTTATATTTTGAACTAAAAACTTGACAATTTATGTGCAAGATCGACTATATATAAATTCAGAGTTATATACCTGAAAGATTGAACCACATCTTAGTCTTTCATTGGTCGCTAAAAAATCTTATATAACAAATACAATATGAGTTTGCGGCGATGGATGTGCATGCAATTAAACAAGTATTATAATTATTTACAAGTGTATTCACAGTATCAATCATTACTGTCAAGCACACACTCAATTCCTGGAAACAAGAGTAACAATTGCAGAGATATCAACATTTACTGCTGAAAGTGTATATTCACAACCTGAACAGTATAATAACTCGAACATAATTACTATTATAAATATTAATTTTTATGAGACTGCAAAACAAAGTAGTAGGTCCACCAAAAAAATAATGAACATAAAATGGATTTCTTCAATATATTTTCCCAAAATGCATAATTAATGATCGGGTCACTACAAAAAAACACGCTTTAGAAGAAAATCAATAGTCAATACATTTGAAAAATCCTAGTTAGAAGTTTCAAGAAAACTAACCCACAGTTCTTGAGATAAGAATTTATATTTTACATAGACCATTACGAACAATAATTTCTTTGACATCGCTGGTTCTAACAATTTTGCCAATTACATCTATAGAAATTTTTTTTTCATAGATACATGAAACAAATGTTTATCTACAACCCATTATACACATGAAATCACATGCCTACCAAAACCTTTTCATCATGCTTTTGAGAAAGTAGCTCATCAAAAGATATGAAATTAAACAAAGGCAGTAATTTGGATCTGCTCAGAAGTTTTCTTTACGTGTGTTGATCAAGTGAGAAATATCTTGAAAGGTTGTGGTGTTCCTCTGTAATGCCTGAGATTAGGAGACAATTTAAAAATTCATCAGAATACCACAATTTCCTCCTCCAAGATTATTTTCGAACTTGGATATCAGTTTTCCTGTAAAGCAAGCTTGTATACGATCTCCATGTTATAACATGATAGAGAAATTACCAAAAGCATATAAATTTAAAAAAATCAGAATTCTGTTGTGTACCTTATCATCCAAAGGTATTAAATGAACTCCACCAACATCTCCAGGCTTATCACAGTTTTGAAATCGCCACATATACGGAAAAATCGAACATTATTTTTCCTGATTTCATTTTCAGAAACTGACTTTAACTGAGTAATATGTCACCCACCGTTTTCACAGAACGAACCATGGGACACACTTCATGCATGATTATTAAGACTGGGGCAGGGGTTGTGCTTCAGGGAAGGGGTGTGCAGGACCAATGTTGGATAGACGCTTTGGAGTTAGGCATACTGACCCGGAAGAGTTTGGGGTATCCGTCGCTGATTGTGGATCTAACTTCTAAGAAGGGACTAGGCCATCCATGCACGAACTGGTCGGGTACTGGAGTTATTCCCCTGATGATCCCGAGACAGGGTGTAAACAGTCGGAAATGATCCAATGGAAGGAGAATTGCTCGGTATGCAAGTGGCATATCCAAGCACTACACAGTTTTTCGAAAAAAAGCTCGTGACAATTACGTGTGAAAACAAAATTAATCTTGCTTATATCTACAATAATACATGAAAATAATTCAGATTACAATTTGCAACGTGTTATAGATTTAAAAAAAGATGGGAAAGAAATTCTAGAGTTGCAGATTTACAAACCCATAAAAATCCAAAAAGTCTTACTTACCTGTGCTAAAATGAAACTGAATTTTTTTCATACAATGTTTCCATATCTGTATATATAAGGGAGGTAGTGATGATATCAAGTGGTGGAATTGATAGGAAGATTCACGGATGGTGGATAAGAAAGTGGAATTATACTTGAAAAAAAAGGTGAAGATAACAGGTTAATGTAGATCATAAAATCCACACTAAGTATTTTGTAATAATCAAGAGTTCAATCTAGGGAAGACAAATGATGTGGGTAACGTTGCTCTTAGAACACAACGTTACAATCAAAATTTGGTTGACAAAAATGGACTTTATTGAATATGAGATTTGGTACAAAATAGTAAACAAGATCGAGAACAATAAAGAAAGATAAAATTTATATGCGAACTAGATGTCTATGAAGTGAGGTCGATGAGAGTAGTGATTTTCTATAAGGTTTTCCGTGTGTTCTATGCTCTGCTCTAGCTCCTCTTTTATAGTCTTCTTCTCTCCCAACTGCTTCCGCGATCTAAAGGATATTACATCGACCTCGTCGTGCTCGATCGGTGTCGAACTGATGATGATGATGATGCATGGGTTTGCTCGATTTTAGTAAATAAATCTCGTTCTGATAACCTCGAAAATTTTTAGGTTATGGTTGCCGTCCATGAGTTTGTCACGAGGTTTGAGAGCCACAGCGATGGAGAGCTAGCGAGGTCGCGAGTTGAAGTAAAGATCTCAAGGAATCGCTTCGGAAGGTTAAAGAAGACCTCAAGAAGAAGACCAGAGAAGCCGCGTTCCTGAGGGATGAGTGGAAGAAGGCTCATGAACAGAGGATGGTGTTTGAGACCGATGTTGCTACTCAAAAGACTAAGGTTGCAGAATTCCTTGCGGAGAGGGAGTGGGACATCCTTCGCGAGTCTCGCGCTATGTGTCGCGAGATTACTGACTGTTATAAGGAGGTCCTATCCCTTGTAGAGAAAAAGTGGTCAGATAAGAGGAAGGAGACTGACGTGGAGATCCAGTTGCAGGAGATAATTGTGAACATCGACCTGCTCAATGAGATCAAGGATGGAGGATTGGTCATTGACAATGAGTTGGCTCGCCTTAAGGAGATAGAGAAGGATTGTGATGGTCTTGTCGAGCTGGCTGCCTCTACGGATTGGACTGTGTCAGATTTAGATCTTCCCGAGTTTTCAGGTGATTTGGTTGTTGAGGAATCTTCTTCCGAGGACGGAGCTGATTCTTAAATTTTATCTCTTTGTTTTTATCTTTATCGGATATCTCGTGTTTTTTTTTCTTAAAGTACTTCGAATGCTTGTTGATAGCTACATATTTTTATGCTATCTTTTTCTTTCTGAATTTTTGAGATTTTATCATTTTCAGTTGATTTTATTCGGTTTATTATGCCTTTATAAATATAGAATTTGTTCCTTCGATCTTTGTATTGCTGAAATTTTTTCTCTTTTATCGTCGATCATGACATCGAAGAAAACGAGTTCCCGTGAATATGAAAGAATTCGTAATCGAAACAACGGAGCGGGACAGATCCGTTCTGGCGATGTGAGCAAAGCGCTCAGCAAAGTTCGTCGCAAGGAGTCCCGGCTCCCTCTTGTAGTGGCTCGGTCTGAAGCCAAGACCCGGAGGAACCGAAGGCAACAACTCTTTTGAGTTTTGGCAGTCCGAATAGTTCGGAGGGGCGCAATCATCCTCCAAAGAAAGCAAAGATTTCAGGGAATGATGCTCGATCCGGCCCTGCCAATGAAGGATCGCAAAGCTGTTTCACTGGAAATTTTCTCATGCCAAGGATTGTCGGATCACGGATGAATTCTGACAGTGTTGCTCACTTGGTTCATGCACTTTAAGCCGGCGGGTGTCCTCTTCCTTCGTTGCGAAATATGACAGAGCGCGATACCTATGTAAAGATGGCGGTCGCTCATGTTAAGGTCGCTCGGTTTAACCTTTTGATCTTAGATACTTACTTTCTTATCATGTGCATTCTTGATGCACTTTCAGGCTATGGAGGCTAATAACGAGTTTGCGAAGACTTTAGAAAAGCGTTTGCAGGATTTCCTCGAGCTGACGAGCTTTACGAAGTCAAAAATGTCTTTCGGGAGCTGAAGCTAAGTTTGAAGATGGCCCAAGACAGGGAGCAGTTCAGTGTTGCTCAACTGACGGCGGCCGAGAAATTGGGAAACCAGGCTGCTTCTCTCGAGTCTTGTCTTCGAGTCGTTGATAATGAAAGAAAATCGGCTTTAGAGCAGGTTTCCGCGTTGGAGATGCAAATCAAATCTCTGACAATGAACCACACGGATAAGTTTCGTCGTGCGACTTATGATGCTAAGAAGACATGTGTTGATGTCTTTGAAGGAGAAGTGGGAGAAGAAGAAAGCTCCAGAGGATTGAAAAATTCGTTTGAAGGAGGTCATGGCTAACATCGAACTCATTAAGGAGATAATGAGTAACAATTTGCTCGCTTCTGACGAGTAATCGCATCTTCAAGCTAAGGAGGTCAAACTAAGAGCCGTGCT